ATATATATATATATATATATATATATATATATATATATATATATGTATATATATATATATATACACGTACCACAAATTTTTTTAATAGTTATGTTTCTTATATTTTTCTTCTAATTTTATTATGCTCTGACTGTTCATAAAATAAAAATGTTCGGACAATGTAGTTATGTTCTTATTTGCAATCTAGTTGAATCAGGTGATAATCATTTATAACAATTTTTTGAGTAATAGTTATTGTAGACATTTGAAAATAAAGATAATATTTTGGCATAATTTGAAAGAGTTTTAAGGTTGAGACGATTGATAATATGTGTACCAACTTTTTGAATTTATTGTGTGTTTGTCTGTTATTATTTTGTCCAATTTTTTTCTACCTCTATGTCAATATTATGAAAAATGATAAAAATAATATTTCGAATGTTACTATTTTCCTTTTAGTAATATTAATTTTGAAAAAGAATATATATTTATGAATATTTTTGTTTTATTATTTGAAAAAAAATATATAAGAAATTTTGTATTGTACAAAATCAAGGCGAAATTAAAGTAAGAAAACTTATAGTTTTCAATAGGAAGCAACCAGTAGGCTGTGGACGATGATTTTGCCGCAGTTACTCCTGTTTTGTGTGTTAATGCTGAATGTTGACATTCAACATGGCGGCATGTCGTCAGTGCTGTGCTGTGTCGTGGTGAGTTTTGTAAAATTTTCTACCGCCGTAAAATTACGAGCTTTGTTACGAATTAATCTAAAATGATGAAAAATTGACATTTCCAATGATGATGTTGATATTTTTGAAAACGAGTTAACAACGGCAGTGTTACATTATTGTACAACAAATTGAGGGACTATAAAAAATTAGAATCTTGTAACTAGCAAGCATATACGATATCTCGACGATCTGTTTTTCGGGATAAATTAATGAGATGAATTTTTCGATTAGTGAAACTATATTTAACCTCATAAATAATAATTACGAAAATTTCATTACTTCTTTATTTCTTTATTTCTTTCAAATCGATCAAATCGCGATAGTATACAAATACATATTCTATCTCAAACTACCTCCAAAGTGTTTTAAAGTTATTAATAAAGTTTTCATATATCGGCTTGATGAAGAGCAGTTTTTAAGTTATTATGTTTGCTTCTAATATAATAAGAAATAAAATACGTGTTGTTTGATTTTTAAATAAGAGTATTAATAATATATGAAAAAAAACATGACACGATTACAAATTTTTATTATAGAAACGTCAGTATCATGTTATTTCTTAGTTAATAGGTAATGCATATAGGTTATGTATATATTATAATAAGAGAAATGTTATAAAAGGTAGAAAGTTTAAATAAGGATTAAAATAAAAATTGATATTTAAGATGTATTTTCCAATAACATTAGTTTTTATCTATTAAAAATGTTTTCATTGATTCATTCATAATGCATTTTTAATATTTAAGATAAAAATATAACTGTCTAACTAAGTGATAGAAATTTTGTAACAAAGCTCGTAACGTTTATAGTAGATTAAGGTAGTTCTAGTAAAGTATGTTCATTGATCAGGTTTTTGTTTTTTCTTTCAGCTTGTGTAATTGTTAGTTTAGGACATTTTTGAAACCAAGGCTCACTGTAAATTTCACATTTAAAAGTTGAAGAAAAAAAACGTTAATATAGAAATATTGGAAAACACAATCACACTCAGCACGCATTGAAGACATCTGAGGATTTTCAAATCAACAATTATTGTTTAAATTTCCTATGTTTTTGATTTACTCCTTTTATAAAGGATGACTGATGTTTAAAGAGAACACGGTTATTCTAGTGCACGCTAAATTGAGTAACTATCGAAGAATTGTTACTATATTAAAACATACACACGTGGAAAGTATCAGCAGTATATGATGTGCTAAGAATTTTGTACTTATACTAATTCGTAATCTATATTTACTGCATTATTCATTTGTATATTGTGTACACAAGAAAACTACTTGTGAGAAAGAGTTAGGTGAGCCATATAGTGACTGTAATAGTGATCGCGGCTGAGATTGTGTTGCTCTGCTTGGTTAATAGAAAATTCATATCCACATTTGAGGTGTCTCTAGAATACACGGAGCTACCTTGAAAAACCGTTCAAATAGCAATACACGACAGGTGTAAAAAAAAAACAAAAAAAATATTGTGGAACTATCTCCCTTGTATTTCTTGTCCTTAACAAAAGGCAGGATATTACAGAGGAGTTTGCGATTCTACAGCATTAAACAGCCTCTCTTCCTCTTCATTAAGTTCTTATAACATTATAATAGTGAACAAAGATATAAAGTACCAAGAACCATTCTGTGATATCTATATTTTATCTGATATCTGTTAACATTTAAATGATTGAAAAGACTAAAAATTTGTAAATGTAAGTATATATATTATGGTGGAGCAGAAGTGAAAAAATATAAAGGAATTAAATAATTATTTCAAGAGAAAAGGAAAATTATACGTAAACATTATAGATAAAACTGCAAATTTAAAACAATGTCCAACAATCCTCAGTGGAAAACGTTCCAGCCGCCAATCATGAACTCTGACCCGGCAATACTTGACTACAAGTCTATGGCTCTACCGAGTCCCAAAGTTATATCAGGATCTCAGCAACAAACAAGCAACAATTATAGAAATGGTACTAACTATAGCGGTGATAATTATATGGGTTCTCCTCCTGGATGTGGTAAAAATGCTACCACTACCGCTACTACTACTACTACTACCACTTACGGAGCCACAAGATTTTCTTTTGGGTCATTAACTAATATGGAAGGAAATGTAGGTTATGCCGGTGAACCTGCTACCAATAATACCGCATACCAAGATCAATCTGCAAATCAGGGAACCCGTGAAACTGGTATTATAGAAAAATTATTAGTAAGTTTATTATATATAATTGACATCGCTTATTTGACTCATAGTTTTAACTTTGAATCATTATTTATGTTGAAATATCTTTTATAGCACTCGTATGGATTTATACAATGTTGCGAAAGACAGGCAAGATTATTCTTTCATTTTAGCCAGTTTAGTGGAAATATAGAACATTTAAAAATTGGGGATCCAGTAGAATTTGAGATGACTTATGATCGAAGAACAGGAAAACCTATTGCTAGTACTGTCAGTAAAATTGCTCCCGAAGTGGTAAGTGTAATTAATAAATGGATGAATATTTTGTTGACATACTCAATGAAACTTAAAGTAAAATTAAATTTAATCATTTGTATTATAGGTGTTGAGTGAAGAACGAGTAACTGGTAATGTGACAACAGAATTACAAGCCAGTGGTGATTCACAAGGTCGAATTAGTTATGAAAATCGAGGGGAGTGTTTCTTTTTGCCGTATACCAAAGATGATGTAGAAGGGAACGTCATTTTGCGTGCTGGTGATAAAGTGTCATTTCAAATTGCTACTAATCAACGGTATTATAAATAAATATATTTATTTTTATAATAAACAATAATTAAATAAAAATAACTTAATGAATTTAATTACAGAGGAAATTTGAGTGCGTGCCATGTACGATTGGAAAATCCAGCACATCCAGTACGTTATCGTGGTGTAGTTTGTACAATGAAAGAAAATTTTGGCTTTATTGAACGTGCTGATGTAGTTAAGGAGATATTCTTTCACTTTAGTGAAGCAAAATCCATGAAAGAAGAACTCAAATTAGGAGATGATGTTGAATTTATAATACAAACGCGAAATGTAAGTCTCCTGTTGCAACACAACAGTATATTTCAAGATAAATGTTATTATATATTTGACAAAATTAAATAACTTATTTATCTTGTACAGGGCAAAGAAGTGGCATGTAATATTACTAAATTACCACCAGGTTCTATTATATTTGAAGAAGTTAGTAATGAAGTGATAAAAGGACAGGTATTAAAACCATTGGAAAGAGGTAATGCAGCACGTCATCACAATGATCCATTACCAGGACGAATTCGATATAGAGATTCGGATCATTGTGAAGTAGAAGTTCCATTTGGTGATAAAGATCAAAAAGGAGATTTCACGCTTAGGTAATATTAAAATATAAAGTTTGTTTTTATATCCAAGTGTAAATGAAATATAAATTTTGGTTTGAACAGGCATGGAGATTGGGTCCAGTTTCGTATTGCCACAGATACTAGAGATCAATTGAAAAGAGCTACAGAAATATCCCTTTTACCAGAATCATTTACTGTATCTGGTGAAAGACGAGAACAAGGTACTATTTCAGCTCTTAAAGATGGATTCGGCTTTATACGTTGCGTAGACAGAGACAGTAGACTCTTTTTTCATTTCAATGAAGTTCTTGATGTTGATAGAGAAATTACTGTAGGCGATGAAGTTGAGTTCACTATTGTACAAGTAAGTTTCATATCATTTATACGATATTTAAAAGGTAATTATAAGATAATTACCTGCATATCGTTACTCGACTTAATTTAGGTTCCTACATTTTCTTTCGAGGATCCTTCATCATCGTTTTCATACACTCGACCTAGTGCTATCAGATTGAAACATTTACCAATTGGTACTGTCCAATTTGAAACAATTATAGAAAAGGATTTGATGGGTAACGTGGTAGAAGATACGAATGGTGTTCAACGAGGTTTAATCGGGTATACGAAAGATAATCAACAAAACGTAATCATGTTTTTTTCTAAGGATTGTGATCCTAAAAATATTCCAAAAGTTGGTGATAAGGTAAGGATTTTGATTAATATTTAATATATAATTATTATACTTTGATTGTACCTAATCAAATATGTTTGTGTTAGGTTCACTTTAGTATTTGTCAAGTTAAACGAAACAAAGAATTAGTTGCCGTTGATATATCAATGGTGAATGCTGCTGGTGAAAAAATACAAAATGGAAATAAAAAAGTGAGTGGTCAAACTTATCAAGGTTTTATAGCAGCTCTCAAAGATGGATTTGGATTTATTGAGACAGTCAATCATGATAAAGAGATATTTTTTCATTTCAGGTAAATTAATATATTTTATCTCTACAATATAATATTATCATACGGATCATAATATTAATTAAATAATTCATTTGGTTGTAGTAATTTTGAAGGCGATACTGGGAACTTAGAATTAGGAGCCGACATTGAATGTATAGTAAGTTCTAACAACAGTAGAGGTTCGGGTGGATGTATTGCTGCTGATTATGTCAAGCTCGTAACTCGTGGAAGTATTCCCAGGCCTACAGCAGTCAGTGAACTACTCGACGGAGTTGTAATACGACCTTTGCGTAGCGCAAATCCCGAACAGAGTGAATATGCTGGTTTAATCAAAATTAATCCAACAAATGAGGAAGAAGAAACTCAAGAATATGAATTCGGTATAATGGGACTTGTCAACAAGCGTGAATTATTGCAGATAGGTGATCCTGTCCAATTACAAGTTGATTCTGCGGGTCATGCTTGTAACATAGTAGCTATCAGGAAAAAAAGAAGGGCAACTGTTGATGCAGTTAAAGGTCCATTTGGTTTTCTTGCTTATGAAGTCGACGATGGTAAAAAGCTCTTTTTCCATATGAGCGAAGTTCGAGATCACGCTACTTTACAACCAGGTGATCAAGTGGAATTTGCATTGGTTACGAATCAACGTACTGGTAAATCATCAGCCTGCAATGTAACTCGTCTAAGGTAATTCATTACTTTATCATGATATAATAATTATTGTATTATTTGATGTAAAATATTGTAATAATGTTTAAACAGTGATGCGGTTCAACAACGACCCGAGCGTTTAATCAGCCGATTACGTACTATTTCATTGGAAGATACGGGTCCGAAATTAACTGTAATACGACAACCTAAAGGCCCGGATGGTACACGCGGGTTCAAACAAGAAAGATTACCACACATCCCTGGTAACATCGAGGAATAAAATGTCATAAAGAGCGTAATTATTGCGCTCATACAAAATTGTAATCTACCATTAACTTGTTTTTAATTCACACAAACAAAACAAAACAAAAACAAAACACGTACACACACGTACACGCATATTCCGATACAGAGATTATTATTATAAGCATGATCTTACAAAACATTTGCCAAATCGAGACTAATGTGACAACAATAATCATTAACAATAATAATCAGTGAAATGAGAAGATGGTAATGATGATGATGATGATGATGATCTTTTCGACAGATGGAAAGCATATTGAGAAAAAAAACAAAAGCAAAAAAAAAATAATAAAACAACGAGTCATATTAACGTGTTAAAAAAAAAAAAAAATATGAAAGGAAGGAGTAACTATGATGAACGACGATATAATTATATGCCCGATCTTTAATTAGTGTAAGAAAAATCCATTTGAAAAAAAAAAGAAAGAAAAAAAAATTAGTTTACGTTTTTCATTCTTCAATTCATTTTTTCGACGCTTTTTAGCATTTTTCCGTAAAAAGAAAAAAAAAACAAAACGTCCTTATAATTAAACAATTATCACCCTACACAACCCCCGTTTAAGTTTGACCTGTAAAACTTATATTTTAATAACGGCGTGTGTTTAATTGGTACAAATGATACAAATCTCACGTGGAAAATAAAAAAAAATAAAAAAAAGGGAGAGAGAGAACAAACAAACAAAATTAAAAACTTTTGATTACGATATTCCTAGGAAAGATTAATAATTAATTGATTTAAGCATGTGTTCTGTGAACAACACAACAACATTGTACAGCCCGTGGTTTAAAATGATATCGTAAAGAGAAAAGAAAAGACAAAAACAAAAGAAAAAAAGAAAAAAAAGAATTCAATACCGTGATGAAAAAAAAATAATATGATGATAATGCATTGGATTACAAAAAAAAAAAAAAAGAAAACAAAAAATTTGCTTGTTTCTGATGTTCTTAGACACAATTGTCCTGTCTGTCTTCTTCTTTATAAAAATATACTTACATGTTGATACAATCTTTTTATTTATATTATTTTATTTAGAACTATTTTTTATCTACCCATAACTGAAAAAAAACTTGTTTTGAATAATTCATTAATAATCGTCGATGTGTGGTGGGACAGTTTTGAGGCTCTTTATTGAAAAAACTATTTGATAAAAGATACAAACATCGCGATGAACGATAATTATAATTGACCAACTATAAACAAACAATTGACACGGATCGACCGATCATGCGGTTAACATCGGGGAAAAAAAGATCAATCCATTTTTATGAATCATTTATCAACAAAACAAAATTTAACTCTATATATATATGATTGATTGATTTCATCGTAAAGGAAAGGAAAAAAGAGTGTGTGTGTGTGAGAGAGAGAGAGAGAGAAAGAAAGAAAAACATACAAAAATATGTATTTTCTTGGTACACATTTTTTTCTCTGTTAAAACAAATGCCTAGGAATTTGTAAAAAAAGAAAATGAGAAAGGAAAAAAAGGCAAATTATATCTGGCAAACTATATTTGTCACATAAATGATATATATATATATATATATATATATATATATGTATATATATATATATGTATATATGTATCAGTAATTACGACAATGTATAATTAAATCGAAAGAAAATAAAATGAAACAACAACATTTACATCATGATGTTTTTTATAATATAAATTAAGCATAATTACAAAATAAAAAATCATGTCAATGTTTTTAATGATTTAACTTAATTCACACTGTCATAATTACTGAACACATATAAAAACACATATACATATATATATATATATATATAATTCGTTAAGTTCCTAAGGCACCTCTCGTGTTGTAAAATCAAATCAGTATTATAAAATTCAAAAGAGAAAAGATAAAAAAAGAAAAAGAAACATTTAACGTTATTCGTGTAAAAGAGAGAGAGAGAAAAAGAAAAAAAAGATTTTTCATTTTTTTTTGTATATTTGTCCTTTTCTTTTCTATTTATTTTTTTTTTAATTTTTTTTTTTTTATTAGTTCTCATTCGAAAAAAAATGATAAATGAGATTATACGTGGCAATATAATAGCAATAGGTGAGAAAATAAAATTAAAAAAAAAAAAACAAAAAAAACGTAAAGAATATTAAAAAAAAAAAGAAAAACAAATGAAATATAAAATAAAATAAAATGAAATAAAATTAAAAAAAAAAAACAAAACCAAAAAGAAATAACAAAAAAAAAAAAATAAAGAGACAGAAAGAAAAAAAATTTAGGAACAAGAGAAATTACGCTTGTTCTAATGGAAAAAAAACAAAAAACAATTCATAGGTTTCAACACATCGTGTGTGCATACATATTGTAAAATTATTAATAATGAATAAATGATAAAAGTATTAAGGACTATTATTCTCTTATATTGTAGTATATCTCTCTCTCTTTCTCTAAGTATAAAAACATTTATTTAATTTGAACAAAAGGATCAATCATTTGATGAACAAAAAAAAATATTCTTACGAATAGGAGAGAGAGAGAGAGAGAGAGAGAGAGAGAGAAAGTAAGAGAAATTAGTTTATTTGTGCATTAGTAAAAACGATTGTACATTATATTCTTCTCTCTCTCTAAAAAATAAAAAAAAAAAGAAGAACAAATATTTCAAAGAAATAATAAAAATATAAAAATATTGTTATCGCATGTTTTATTATGTATGTACAAAGATGTGTATATTATTCGAAAATATGTATGGAAGAATATCTCTATATGTATGTACTCGCTTTTTGTACTAACTTATTGTCAACAAAAACGTATAGATTTTAGATTCGCAAGTTTCGTGATGGTATAAAAAAAAAAAAAAGAAAAGAAAAAAAGGGAAAGAGAAGTAAGAGAATTTCTTAATTATCAGATCACAACACATTCGTAGGGAAATGGTCCACGGTAACGTAGATTGTTGGGTGCAGGACAAGCTGTAAAAAACTCGATTAGATATTATCAACATTTAAATTCATTGATTAATTTGTTTTTCTTTTTTGTTCTTTTTTTTTATTTAAAAATAATACTAACGTTTTTCACAGCGTGTACCAAAATATCCTGTACCCTCGCATCGACATTTGAATCCTGGATCGGCCGAAATTTGCGAACAAGAGCCACCGTGTAAACAGGGATTAGATCTGTAGCATGTATCGTTGAGTCTACCTGTATAAGGTATTATGAAGAAAACAATTAGAACATTTATGGTTTCTTTTTTTTTTTTATGTTTAACAATTTTAATGCAGATTTTAAATGAATAATATTTCTTTTTTTTTTCTACTGAGATTATTTAAAATATCTCTGAATTATTTTTTTCATCGTAATTTAATTCATGAAAAAAGATGTGAGATAGAATTAGGCCAAAGTTATGCAAACAAACAAATTGGTAACATTAGATTAATAATTTTTAATTTTACTTTAAAATTGAAAGACTGAACAACTTTTTTTTTATTAATAATAATGTTTCTAAGTCCTCCCCCCCCCCTCCTTTATTTCTTGTGCATAAAACTTGGCCTAATTTTCATTTATTCATTTAAAATATTCATTTTTTATTTTGAGTACATAATTGATTAACAACGTTCGTCGCCCAGCCCGTTTCGGTTGAGTTTCTCGCCAGGCCCAAAATTCGACTGTGGGCGCGCCGTAACGTAAAGAAGCGATAAGTAGAAATATCAACAATGCAACCCGAGTATTATGATTATATTATATTATTATATTTTATTTATCGAAAATAATAAAATATAAAAATATTGTTTATTTATCGAAAATAATAAAATATAAAAATATCGTTTATTTACAAAAAATAATAAAATATAAAACTATCTTTTATTTATCGAAAATAATTTTGTTTCGAAATGGGAAATGTGATAAGTTTTTCCAACTAAAAATACTATAACTTTAACAAGAAAAGCGTCACCGTATACGGTAACGGGGCCCCCGGAGAAGCATGCCCGTCTCCGGTATACGGTGCCATAGCGACGAACGTGTTAATACGAACGATTAAAAAGTTTTACAATTTATAAATTAATAATCGTTACCTCTCAATGCTAATCTGCAATCTTCGTTACTGTCATATCTATATTCAGCCTTACAACCATAACCACAGCTACATTGGGCATTATAAATCCGACATCCGTATCTCATCTGATCCAGTTCACATGCTTTTGATAATGAACCTGTTACATGAAACAATTAAGTACTAGTATTTACTACTTAATACAATTATTACGTGTGTATATTTTATTCTAAATTTTTTGCTTTCTTTTTTTAGTTTCATTTTTAATTATAAATTAGGTATATATATCTGTTCCTAACGAAAGGAAAAAGTCGAGATTGTTGTTTGTGCTACCGGATACGGGCTACTGCACTTCCCACTTGTCTAAATTGATAATGGCCTTTCGCAGAGATAAACACACACGCGTGAATAAAAATTATTCCTTTTTATTCTTCTCCCCTTATTTTCTTATTTTATTCTTTTGTTATTCCTTTCCCTGGTAACTTTTTCCAACTATCTCTTTTTACATATCGTATACGAATAACAAAATTAGACAAAAATATTTAATTATTCAACTTGAATAAAAAATTGTATTTCTAAAATTACATGTGTTCAATTATAAACTCGATGAGTTTAATTGAAAAAAAAAAAGAAAAGAAAAGAAAAAGGAAACTTACATTTAACCTGTTAACCAGGGAATTTCTCTTTTGAATTACGCGCCTTTTTTTATTATTTATTTATTATTTTTTATATATTTATATATATATATTTATTTATTATTTTTTATATATTTATATATATATTTATTTATTTATTATTATTTATGATTAAAATAAATGAAAAGATTATGAAATATATATTTTTTTTTTATTTATATATAAAATACGTAAAATAAGTTTGAGGTATTTAAAATTCCCGCCAAGTTAACAGGTTAATTGTAGAACATTTTTCTAGTATAAAAACGTATCAAAATAAATATAATACTTATGAAAGAGAAATAATTATCAAAAGATTATATTCATAGTAAACCAAACAAGACTTCTTCAACTATGATAATGATCATAGTTTAATCATAGTTTATTTCATAGATTAAACTCGCGAGAATTATATATATATATATATATATATATCTACTATGCAAGTAGTAGTTGATAATATTATAGTCTTTCGAAACGTGTCTCTATCTTCTCTGCGTATAAATAGCTATTATTCTCGCACTATATCTTTGAGGAAACGAAAGAAAACAACGATCTCAAGTTTAATGACCCCTTTTTTCCTTTCATTCATGATTCAAACGTTTTCTAATCAATCATCAATCATATCTTCTCAAATCCTGTTAAGTGCATTCACTAAAATTATTTTTTATTCGAAGATTAATTTTTATATAAATGGAAATAAAACAGAATTAATATTAAACAATATTAAGTGACCAATTGAATGAGTAGTTTTTAATATTTGTATTTTAATTCTTTTTATGTTACCATTTTCAATTAATATATATATATTAGGGTGGGTCAAAAAATCAATTAATTTTTTTTTTTACAAGTGACACGGAAAAATGGGTTGCTAGACACCTTAGAAAAATTCTCACCAAATATGAGCTCTTAATTTTAATAGGAAAATCCTTCGCATCGCAGTTTTTTATTTTTTTTTCAGTTCAATAGATTAAAATTCATACCTCATTATTTATTGATTGTACAGAAAAATGTTCTAGACGAATTTTGTAGGAAATTTAATGCTCTACAAAAAAGGTATCTTATACTTTTTCCGTAAACCTCACCATTTGAATGATATTGAAGATTTAAATTTGATGATTTTTAGACAAATTTCATTTTTGTTTATGAA